GACAACTAAAAGGGGTTTTGTCGTGGCGAAAAGCCTTAAATATTCACACTAGAGGCTGTTGATACTGGTGGGAGATTATCCCATGAGGAAACTCGTCTTTTGAGAGAATTATTTTGGTTGGATGACTCTCTGGGATTTTAACCCAGAAGTGGCGGAGATCGCTTTGCAGATATCTTGTGAGACTTGGGGAGGGGGGGGGATCACTTCATCTGAAGATCTTGATTAAGGAAGGCGGGCCGTGCCCCGTTTGATCTATACCTAGGAATTTGCCTTACAACTGAGGAAAAGCACGGAAACCTCTGTCAGAGTAGCCGAGTGGTCAGAACACTCGTTGCGCCGACTTGACCGTCATTTTAGGGACAGCCTCGGCTGGCCTGCTGGCAGACTGTTAGGTTCTCAAGGACTATCTTTCTCCTCCATGGAGTTGGGTAAGTCTAATAAGATACGGCTATTCAAAGTGGCAAGTAATAGTATATTCGGTTTAAAATAAAATGGAATCGACACGAATCTGATCGATATCGCGTCTGTGCGCTAATGAATATCATTTCTGAAATCTTACCACTACTTTTCCAAAATTTAGAAGTTTGCATTGTGGTCGCTTTATCCTATACGTTCTAGTCGGTCATGGGTTAATCGAAACAGGTGAGGAATATCAAAACAACTTCCATCGGCACCTCAGAATTTAATCTTAACGCTATATGCGTCCTCTTACGCTGTTCGGGACAAGTACACGTCTTCCCCTGAAGATTTAGTGTGCTCACAGCTCCGTAGAGTTCGCAATAAGCCGAACTTCGAGAATGCTGACCTCTAACTTCTCACAATTAGAAAAATGTATGGCGAGTTCTAGACTGAACTTGGAGACGACTTTCTGTCACCAGGAACAAAGGACTAAACAAACTCTACAATTCATGAGCCTCTAGCACAGGAAACATTTTGCCTGTAACGCATGTGTTCGCCTGCTTTGCAGTGAAACGAAACAAATGCTTGTCCATCGCATTTAGCACCGAAGGGTTTTAAGTCTTCTAGCGTCTGCTATCTCAAGAAATGATATCCCATTTGTTTCACTTTACAAGACTTTAGAAATCTCAATAGGTTATCAGAGTTTTAAATTTAATATAATTTTACACCTGATGATGGTTTAATAAAACCGAAACATGTTGTAACTGTTCCAATTGTAAATCGATTATTCGATATGGAACACAGAATGATATTTTAATTATTTTAATTATCTTATTTTAAATACATTGTGATTTGACGGAATAACCAAATAATTTAATTTTAATTTAATAAGTCACAATATGACGCAACTACACTATCTTAAAGAGTTTATTTCACGACAACGAAGGATATTTTATGTTTGTCATCATTTCCAGTCCCGACGGGCTCCAGATTAAAACGGCGGTCGCTTGTGTCTGACCACGTCCGGGTAGCGATATTACCGTCAGGGAATGACGAACGATTTATCCAATCTCTTAGTTACAGGTTGAATTAATCACTTAAACACTTAGTTGATAACTTAGTCAGTGATTTATTTGGTTGGTTGTTTCTTTGGTTTCATTTTTACTTTATGTTAATACAATGGATTTCCCTTTTCATTACAAAGTGTCACCATATATGAACAGGATATGTCATATTGTAAATTATGAATGGGGTGAACATGTCGATCACGGATATGACGCCGTGTGGACTTGTAGGTAAGATACCAACCTTTCGGAGAAACATACTGTCTCCAACCATATTCATCCCCGAAGATGGAGGCAGCAATCACGTCTTAAAAGTCAGTAATCTTCTATCAGACTACAGGTGAAATAATCCAGGAGATAATTAAATCTAAAACTTCTTTGACGATGGTGAAGAGTCAATTGAATAATTTTTTTTTTGGATATTATCCATCGTCTAGTAAATATAAAACGTAAACGACGTTTCGTCCGGAGATAGGGATTAGCTCTATCTAGTGGGCCCAACTGTGTAGGAACCTGAAGACGGAGATAGAGTCCCATCTCCGAAACGTCGTTTTACGTTTTATATTTACTAGACGATGGAAGGTCCGGAGATAGGGATTAGCTCTATCTAGTGGGCCCAACTGAGTAGGAACCTGAAAGATAATCGTCTTAAACTCCCCCGCCGTGAGAACATTAAATCTCACGTGGAGATTTTTTTTTCCCGAACGTTGGTATCTGCCAGCAACCCCCTGAAATCCAACAAACGAGAGAAGTCAGTTTTCTGTCCACCCTGTCGTGAATCTCTGGCCGTTCCGGTTGTCAGGCGGCTTTGGACTGTATGTGTGACGGCTTCCTCGAACCGCCTTCTCTTGGTTAACAGCGCTCTGCCCGACTGGCCGCTCCCCACTCCGAGTGGCTCTGTCCCAGTTCAATATTCAGCGTGGCTGCTTTAATTGACCTCCTTTCAAGAACAGTCACTAGCTGCCTTCATTGCAGTTCTAAGATTGCTTCTGTCTGCCAAGTTGTCCGTCTGTTTGAACCCATGAAATTGGTATTTTGAGAAGGAATTCTTATTATTAGCAAACCTAAGCCACGTTCTAGCATGCAACGTGACACTAACAGCTCAGACATAAACGTTTATTTTCTTACTCTTTCTGGAAATATTTTCATCCAAATCGCATTTCCAAAATCTTGTCCCTTAAGATCTATTTCAGTATTATCCTACAACGTTTTTCTTTGCATGTTTTCTAAGAGGTATATACCACCGATATCTCTCCGATTCATTTGTCCTGAGACGAAGTTCTTATTCGTTTGACTTTCTCCTTTACTGTGGGCGTACATTACAAAATTTGATGCGTGTTGATATATTGAAGAGAAAATATTTTAAAATAAGTCAATTGATTGGCAAACATCAGAATAATTAGAAATGAATAAGGAATTTTGTTTGGAAAATCTGAACATAAACTACATAGAAGATCTAGACGTACATGAGATGGCAATATTAAAATGTGTCTCAGAGAAATGAGAGATAAGGTTATGGATTGGTTTCATCTGGCAAATGTAGGGACTAGTCTTGGGCACTTTTGAACACGGTAGGGACTTCTCAGTTTTATAAAAGGCGGGGAATTTATTGATTTATTGGACTACTGGTGGCTTTTGAAGAACTCTGTTCCATGAACTTAGTTAATTAGTAAATTCTCTTGGAGATATTACTTGCCCATCATGTTGAAAATACTGCAGATTATGAACGGTACACGAACAAAAACAATTAGCTCTATGAAAAACATAAGGCACCAACTTTCCTGTGTTATCCACGTTGTAGTGACGTTGTACAGGTTACAGGTGAGTAATTTTATACTATAGGGAACTTGATGCATAATTACCCAAGCCCGTGTTTCTCCTATATTGTCTTTTCCCTGGGGAAAAGATATCGCCCTGAGCACAGAATTGATCGTTTACCTGTATCTCACTCTGAGGTGGTGCTTACTCAGAGTAGAATACTTTATTTTTATTTTCAGTGCCTGTTGATCCTTCTTTGTCTTCAGTCCGTATGTCCTCATGAACCTGCTCTCATAAGCCTTAACGTAACGAAAAAGTTTCACGTCCACACAAAGTAACAAGTAAAATTACTTTCCTATATTTTTATCTTCATAATTTTAAATGTTGTTTCAAAATCAATTTTTTTGTCAATTATAAACTTTGATTGGGCTATTGGATTTGAAATGGTAACAAATCTCCTAGATGCAACAAGTGTTCGTTACTTATAAAGACAACAACGAAATAAGACAAGTTTATTAACGGGAACATTCCAACATTCAGATAAAACAATATTGATGGGATATTGCGCCGTGTATTCTGCTAGTTAACTGACGTTTCAGAGGTACCTGTGATCGCCTTAAGGCAGCGGTCACCACTGAAACGTCGGCATATTTCTACCAGATTACACGTCGCAAAGTTCCAAACGACAATTCATCTTCATACTGGCCACCGTGAGAACCTGAAATGTCACCTAAAAAAAATAAGCTATCGAGACCAACTGTTTTAATTACACCACTTTCAAACAAACATCAGAAGACACCCCGGCCCAAATTAAGACCAAATTCTTCCTTGCTTCAACGCCACTTTGTCCACCATGAAACTCACTTGAACCCATGTCTTCACGACAAGAAGCCAGCGTCCAGCCGCTCTGAGCTATGACGCATTTACAACACAATTTATAACAAATTTAGAATGGAGTTGCGTGCTATAGGCGCTGCGAGGTGACCCTCTGTCGCTGTTTTCAGCTCAACACCCACCGGACTGCAGACAGGAATATTCGCAATGGTCAGCGTGTTCGAGTCCTTGTGGCGTTGGTCTGTCCCACCGGGTTTCAAACCTGAACCCTCAGTGCCGGCCCACCAACGAAAGTCGCCTGTGCCAGCTGCGGGCGTGCGAAGACGAGATACTGGTGGTGCCACGCGGCCACGCCAGACACCACCACGTCCGGGTAAGTCTCTTTTATTACTTCAAGCAGTAAATATGTGTGCATTTTCGTGAGCAGTACACAGTATGTTAGTAACAAAGATATGTAACACCCTACTAGGTTTTGTACCATGTTTGTGGTTATGTATGGCTAAATTTTTAAATAATGTTTTGTCGTGTTTTGAAAATTTCATATTAGATATTATTTAAATTTAAGTGATATTATAATTAAAATTAAATTATTTGGTTATTCCGTCAAGTCACAATGTATTTAAAATAAAATAATTAATATTTTAAATACATTGTGATTTGACGGAATAATCAAATAATTTAATTTTAATTTAATAAATCACAATATGACGCAACTACACTATCTTATGATATTATAATGTTTTTTCGTGATTATGGCAACAAGTTTTTTTATTTGTGAGATCAAGGCAATTTATTATATTTATTTTACAACCTCTGTTCTAGAATATCTAGGCCTGCTTGTTTAAAAAAGAAAGCACTTCTACACTTATCAAAGTGTGACATTTCCTGTAGAACTAAGGAAACATGGCGAAACTACGAGTCAGGATTGTAATCAGCCAAAATCTAATGTCAGGAATCTCCCGAATACAGTATAAACGTATCAGTGAGGTTTGAGAGGCTTTCGAAATCGTTGACGTGGAACAAATTAAAAAAATAGATTGGTTCCTGGTATTTTTAAAGATGTTCACACAGCTACAGAGGTTATTTTTTTGGCGAATAATGTGAGAAAATAACCACTTGTATATGTCGAGTACTACCTTGATAAATCAATTTCCCCTTTTCTTAAAATTAGTTTTAATTGTAATCCACCATCGTCAGAATCCTTTAGAATCCACTTTTCTGGTTTGTTCAAATTATTATACTAACTTCTATCACAGAGAAGGACACGTGGCTTTCGTCATTTAATACGTGTGACCCGCCTTCATTTCTTATGGAGTCGCCGTGCCAATGCGGCAACTTCTCCTGCACATTTGTAAGGCGGGTGTAGTAATCAAAATTCTGTAGGCTGTCGTTACATTTATACAGACGATGAGAAAGGACGGGAAGCTGTCTTGCTGAACACGATGAATTTATTATGTCTAAGCGAATTAATTTACATTAATAAGTTATTATCACACACTTATCGATTATATTCAATCAATTGGTGTTAAATTCGAGTCAGTGTAATTGTGTGTAAAGCTAAATAAGACACACTTTATATATTCAGGGCTTTCTTAAAAAGTACTTTACCTAGAAATAATGAACTCGCTTATTTAATTGATAGTTTCATAAGTTCTTTATTTAAGCTGACCAAAAATTAATTTACGGAAAATGCGAAAAGTTGTGACATAAACCCCAAATCATTTATTATTTGCAGCAGTGGCGTCTCATTGTGATCGCTTTATGCATTAACTTTTGTTAATGACCGGAAGAGGGATGAACGTACATCAATTTATTCATTATAAAATCGGTTATGGTTGCCTGGTAACCAGATAAATGAAATATGCGGAATTGACTAGAAATTTTAGAAGTATACGCTTTAAATTTATGTGAATTTTTTCTTGTACTGTACTTAGAACTGCTATGCAAAAACCTGAGCTGTCAAACGAAACAAGTGAAGACAAATGGTTTCAGTAGCTTATTGCATTAAAGCCATGCAACCTTCCCAAAAGACCATTAACATTCCGATAAGATCTGACATTTCTACGTACGTTTCCATTACGTGTGTGTTGCCTACGAATGAAATGCTATATATATAGTTACTTTGCAAATGCCACACGAAACACATTTAACAGGTGTAGGTTTCACTGATCGTATTTTGTTGCAAAATAAACTTAACCTTGGGCGAGTAAGTCGGTTGGTGAGACATTAGTTAAATGTGTGAGTACTATGAATGCTGTCCCGAATTACATGTTGTAGTATTAACGGTGAAAATACATTGGAATGGCATAAAATGACCTGTGTTGTCCCTAAAAAATTTTTGGGATGAACAAAACTTCACAAAATATCCAGTTTTAAGTCCTGGTTCGAAGCAAGTGCCTCTACAACACGAGCCTGACTTGTTACCGCTGTCTTAATCCGATCTGTAAATATGATTCAGAGAACCGATGAAAGTAATTAATTATATTTATAACAAACTTACAGCTTAGTTGTCTTTTTATTTTGTCTATGTATACATACAATAGTTTCGTTATCACTCTCGTCTGTAGACTGTTTAAACGTGATTGATAAAATGTAGGATTTGAACTACTGGAGGATAGAAATTATACTTTTTCCGTTATGGATTCAGGTCAGCGTAAAAACTCGTATTATCCACGGACATGCCATAGAGAATAGGGTATCGATTGTAGAATCGAATTAAATGACAAGAAAAACACATAGTCAATATTTGCTCTGTTTTGCTGTCGGTATGAAAATGTGCGCGAGGTGTCGTATACCTGTGACGATTTAAATTGATTGGTAAAAATGTTTAATGCACATTTGCTTTAATTCGTTTTATGTGTTTCATGTAACACTGACGATTACGTATAAGTTTCTTTGTTGGCAAATAGTAGTGCCTAACGTTCGTGGCCGATTTTGATAAAGTGAGAAGATATAAACTTGTATTTTATAGATTTCTGTCTTATGGGTTATTGCGCCTTGTAGTCTGGTTGATTTTCACCAACGTTTCAGAGGTCATACTGCCTCCGTCATCAGGGCGATGAGTCGGAAGATTTCTGTCTTCTGGGTTGTTGCGCTGTGTAGTCTGGTCGATGTTAACCGACGTTTCAGAGGTCATACTGCCTCCGTCATCAGGGCGATGAGTCGGAAGATTTCTGTCTTCTGGGTTGTTGCGCTGTGTAGTCTGGTCGATGTTAACCGACGTTTCAGAGGTCATACTGCCTCCGTCATCAGGGCGATGAGTCGGAAGATTTCTGTCTTCTGGGTTGTTGCGCTGTGTAGTCTGGTCGATGTTAACCGACGTTTCAGAGGTCATACTGCCTCCGTCATCAGGGCGATGAGTCGGAAGATTTCTGTCTTCTGGGTTGTTGCGCTGTGTAGTCTGGTCGATGTTAACCGACGTTTCAGAGGTCATACTGCCTCCGTCATCAGGGTGATGACCTCTGAAACGTTAGTAAACTTCTACCATATTATACGGCGCAACAACCCAGAAGACAGTCATCTTCTAGGATGTTCTGTCAACATTTCAGACTACCGCGGACTTCACTACATCGTCATAACTTTTGTTAACTTGTCCATAAAACCACGTGACTGCTCTATATTTTGTTTCACTTCAGTTCAACCCAAATCGTCACACCCTTTTTATTTAAGATGAATTTTAATATCGCTCTGCATTATGAGTTTTCCAGCCAAATTTTTTATAAATATTTTAATTTTAACATGCGTGCTACATACAATGCCAATCCCTTTATTCTTGATTTTGTTATCATAAAATTTGTTTAGGAGTATTAAATTATAAAGCTTCTCATTATGTAGTTTTCTTAATATTTCTCTTCATTTTCTCAGTTATCTTTAAGTATCCACCACGTAGTTTTACGCCCGTATTAAGTAGAATTTAATGTTGCGGTTTAGTAAATTTCAAAAAAATTTGTAACTCACTGGTAGCATACGACCCCCGCGTTTGAACTAATGGCAGTCACCGTTCCACAAGACGTGTCTTGCTGATTGTTTTGTCAATATTAATTATCTAAATGACACGTCAAATCGATTACCACGTGTAATGATATGGCCATTGCGAGGTCAATTTCCAAATTAGTTCCCGTCCAATCGCTGTAAAATGACCGTATTGCTAATTCATATACCTATATCTAATAACACTGAAATCGTGTAGACAGAAGCTTAGGGTTTCCACAGATTGTCTGTCTGTTGATCTGTACTAGTATACCATTGAATTCGAAAATTAAATGTTTCAAAGTTTCAGTCGGTAGACTTTAAAAAACGATTACATATAACCCACTTCATTACAGCACGATCGGTTGTTTAATTTGAACTCTTTATATGCTACTTAAGTTATCTACTATAAAATACGATATTCGTCCCCAAATCTTTTTGTTTTATTATATGGTCTATTAGAAAAACGAGTTGTGTAGGAATAGTTAGTGAAAAAAGTGAAAGCTACTACACGCTCAGAAATGCATTCTTAAGACTTAGCAGTAACGTTCAGTGACCCACCATGCTTCAGTTAATTAATCTCCGTAAAATAAACAATGTTTAGTCTTATATACGAGGCGCGTCCTCAAAGTAAGTTTCCCACTCGTCCCACAGCTAGCAAACCTTATATTGCGCGAAGCGACTGTGCGTACATGATAGAGCAATGACGTAGCATGGCGCATGCACTAACTGCACCTCCCGCGTTCTCACAGTAGCATCGTTGCAGCTGTTGAAGATGGAGGTTCTTATTCCAGCTCCCGCCGACTGTGAAGTGCGGTCAGTGATAACGCTAGGCCGCACACGGCTCAACGGACAGCGAGTCTCCTGCAGGAGTTCAGCTGGGAGGTGTTTAATCATTCACCCTACAGCCCGGACCTCGCTCCCAGTGATTTCCATCTTTTCCTACACCTCAAGAAATTCCTGTCCGGTCAGCGTCAGCGTCAGCGTTTTGAGAATGAAAGAGAGGCGGAGATGGTTGTCACACAGTGGTTCCAATCCCAGGCGGCAGACTTCTACGACACAGGTATTCAAAAGTTGGTCCCACGGTATGACAAATGTCTCAAATCCGGTGGCGAATATGTTGAAAAATAGCTAGACACTTGCTGTATCTGTTGCAATAAATATTCCCATGAAATTGTGTTTTGTTTCTGTAAACGGCCCCAGGGAAACTTACTTTAAGGACGAGCCTCGTACAATATGTAAAACTGACTCTTGGGTTATGTTTATTTTATTTGCAAGAAGACTGTACAAGTCACTAAAGCGAAATATGATTTACTAGACAAACTGTAGTTGGTTCCACTCTGAAAACGTTTTGTTCTTACTAATGCGCAAATAAAGCCAACCTCTGTCATGTTTGAATTCTAATATAGTTGGTACTTAAACTTTCTCCCGGAAAACAAGAAAAGTGGAAAACAAATTGAACTCTGTCTTACGAATTTAAGTCTCACTGTGTTAACATTCTATGGTGAAGTGTCGGTGGGTTGGTTGACCCGAATCATTGACTTTGATAAAATGTTATTATGAAAATATAGTCGCACAGTTGTGAAAGATTCTGCTAACTTTAAACATGAAAGGGAAGTACTTTCAAAGGAGTTTTTGCATGTTAAAGGTTTTTAAGAAACATAAGAGAGAACTGAACTTAGTTTTCTAGAAAAAAAAAATCATCGAAGTAAACATATCTTAACATACTTCTTCAATCCCAGTGCATCATATTTTAAAATCGTTTAAATATTTAAATTAGAAATGCGTCTGAAGAATAATTATTGCGTGATATTGCATGAATACTGTACAGGTTCTTCCTTTAAAACTAGATGGTTGATTGGCTGATCAGTAAATGCTATGGAATGTTATTGATTATCACAGAATTTACAGAACTGCCATACGGTCGTATTCTGAAGTAGCTAGTTGAGGCTTACGTTTGGCACGATTGTGCAATGGCTATCAACGCCTGTCTGATGTGTCGCAATGTGTGGAGTGGCACTGATCCACTAAAGACAAGTCTTTTAATGTTAGCTGTACTAATACGGCTAACACGAACGCTTCCTGTCGCTACGTGTCACAAGCGTAATAGGCTTACTCATGTAGGATCTGAGGTTTTTACAGCGGTGAGTCTGAATATTGGTGTCTTCTGGGTTATTGCGCCGTGTAGTCTGGTCGATGTTAACCAACGTTTCAGAGGTCATACTGCCTCCGTCATCAGGGCGATTCGTCTGAAGTCCTTATTCCGGTAACAGTAAATTGTACCTTTTTTTAACACATCAGTTACTTGTTACGTGGAAATAACGCTGGTTTGGTCACTCCTGAGTACCAGGTGTGGTCAGCAAACCTCATACTCAATCTTCGTGTTTCCTAGACCACATTTCCAGTCCCGTCCACCTGATGCTCGTAATAAATCGTCACAGATTCCGCTCCTACGTCTTGGAATGTTCTCTACTCACTATTAATTGGATCTCACGTTCTTAGACCCGAGCGTCTAATTAATCAAGTGTAAATTCTGTCCAGATGACGCGGCTGTCACGTTAGCTTGCAGTCAGTTACTCTTCTTAATAACTGTCACTGTAGTTTGAATAAAAACAAGAGTTATTTGTAACTAACGATGTATTTTACCTGATCGCTTAGGCTGTGTTCCAGTTTGCCTAGACACATCAGCCTGTGCCTGTATCTACGGAGCACACGCGTTGTGTGGCAACATGAATGCATCATGAAACATTTTTTTTCGTACATAACTTGCAGAACAGAACAAGCCACGTGTTTTTTTTCTTTGGAAAATGGTTTAGCGGTGTTCGATATATGCCTCAGGTTCTATATGTGAAACAAAATTATCTACAACAAAAAAATAGCCTTTGGCGAGCTATTTCCGTTCTCTGTAATTCCTGTGCAACAAGCTAAAAAATTAAATAAAAAAATTATATCAATACTACAAAGATAGTTCTTATGTATTTATTCCGGTTATCAACAGAATCGTGTCCAGTTCTGCCTGTAAGATCAATGATAACGTGTGGTTGCCATAATTTCAGAAGTATTTGTCTTTTATTTATTAGTATATAATGTATCATTCCATTTGCGTAAGAATCCTTGCAAAATGTTTCACGAGTCTCCACTGCGCTAAATTTAGAATACGTACTTCTCCCTCGTGTGTGCTCCGTCTGTTTTGTAATGAAATTAACAATTGTCGGAGCTAACTAAGCAAACATTTCCTTCCAGAAGGGTCACGAATGTAAGGCCACGCAGAGAGTGACAGGTCCCGTGAGGTTGCGGTTTGGACCCTGTCGAAGTAGGAAGAGGTACCGCCCCAAATTCTGCGGCAGCTGCCCCAGAGTATGCTGCAAACCGCAGCTCAGCACCACGATCAAAGTTGAGTTCCACTGCGAGACTGGCAGCGCTACTGAAGACGAGAGAGACATACTTCTGGATCTGGTTGAACCAGGGACAGACCTTTGGTGGCCGGAGGTAGACAAGGAAGAACATTACCGCTACTTTTACTACGACCGCGAACCAGCGAGAAGGCCACCATGGAGGGATGGGGACTCCGGACGGAGCCTGGAATTCCGACAGCACCAGGGTCCTGAAGGCTTGAGGATGTACCGTAAAGTTTTCTTTGGCGTTCAGTGGATTTTGAAGTGCCACTGCGCGGGATCGTGCAGTGAGGAGGTAACACTCCCCGAGCAGGAGATATCTCTGGCTACTGCAAGACCCACGAATGGGGAAGGTGAGGTGATTCTGCACAGAGTTCACAGAACTGCGGCCCCCTAAAGCTCGCACAGCCCTTGTGATAGCAACAGAAACAAGGCTTGACGCTCAGTGATGCTGTATGGTGTCAGGAAGCATGGTGAGGTCAGGAGATTGTGAGGGTCCCGAAAGGAAATCTATAATTTTTTGTCAGGGAATGTCAACCCTCATATTTGACTACAATCTCTAGTCGTATTTCTATTGAACCAGACACCAGTCTTGTATTTTTGGGGGCAGATTTTTTTTTCCCGTATATTTATAACATTTTCCGCATTTAGTAAAGTATATGTATTTGTCATATATCCCATGCTTGTCACAAGTCTCACCCATCTCGCCTCAGTTGTCGTATGGCTGTTCAAATTTGTTAGTTTTGTAGGCACTTGTAATGCATTCAAGTAGCTCTCTACGACACATAAGTTTCCGTAACCCATTTCCATAATGGGTTTTCTCTTTCTGTCATCACAGCATTGTTGTTGTTGCATTGTTTACAATACGCAATCCAAAAACTTCGGGGTAACTGTTAACATTTTGAAGACAGTTAATGGCTGAATCTAAAGCCATATTTTATTACGTATTACACGGAAGAGAATAAGTTTGTCTGTAAATCAAGTCAAAATTTCACTTGTAAATTATAATCACATAAGAATTTAATAATCTTGAAGGCGAACAGAAATTTCTCACTTTGTGATTTCCTCCGCAGACCGTCATGCATCACCAGAGAGATGAACTGAATAAAAGGGTTTACAATTTTTATATTAATCATGGATACAGTTCATACACCGAAAGACAATGGAATTACATATCTTTTCCTTCCCTTATAAAGGGCAAGCTATTTCGAATTTTGTCTTGTTAAGTAGCTTTCTGTCAGAGTGTGAAGAGGACCTCGCTTGTCGGGCCTGCCCTGCCCTACATTTTTGGTATGGCAGCTTGGATATTTTTCTGTCACGTGTATTGTTTAATTCAGTATTTTTATGACAATGGGAGAATCCACTTAGGCAAATCTTCTACTATTAATATATGATAGTTCGGATGACAGTTTAATCCCGCTTAGAGAGACGCGCTGTGGTTACTATGGCAACGAGCTTGCTTTTGATATACATTTATTAAGTAACCATGGAGACACTGAGCAAGAAACAAATACTTTTGAATACGTGAAAGTATTTATCTGCTTGACTTGGTATATTACGTCTGATATTTAGTGAAACATTTTTAAATGTGCAATGAGATTCTTGAATTTACCTCCTGATTAACAAAAATAAAGTAACGCCTTATATACACAAATTTGTTTTAAAAAATTGAAGCCATATTAAGTCTCAAAATGGATAGACTGTTTTAATATTTCAAATGATTCTTTTATAAATTGACAGATAAAATTTGAGATATGTTCTAATCAATGAACCGATGGAATAATTTGAAAAATCGGATTTCCCCAATGTAATGCTTTATTTAAAATGTAATTACGTTGAAGTGAAAAACTTGTGGAGAAACTGTAACACCAACTCCAGCTCCAGCTTGGCAGGTTGGAGCTGACTGACAATGCATTTTACCTCTTTGGTCCCGCTGTGTTCCAGAGTATGGAGTACCGCTGAACTACGAAAGTAGAAATTATTTTTTCAAAGTGTTAGCCGGGCTGACGCGGTTAACACGAATTCCCCCTTCCTCCCCTGATCAGTGTGTAGTTTAAGAAATGAACAAACGTTACCTGCCAGGTTCGTCTTCCACGAGTTGACGAGCTACGTCTTTGACAATATAGCGTCTGATAATAAAATAATCTTTGTGAAGTACAGTCTCATAATAACACCAGTATGAAGACAGAACAATACCACGATTTATTTTGTCAAGATGGTTACAAAACATACTGTCGCAGTATCTCCACAAGTTATTATTTGTATAACACATACGTATAAATATAACATAGATATGTCTAGTAAAAAAATAATAGGCCTATAGTGTTCAGCAAAATTCTTTTGCACTTAATGTGGAAATTACTGTATAGAAGTGTGATTTAAAAAAGGTCGACTTTGGAAAGCGTAAGAAAATTGACAATCGATTCGAAGGTTTTCTAGCAACGATACATGAAGAATATGGAACTTACCTTAATTTACTGTGATGTTTTGTGCGCAGTGACGCCAACAGGTGACCTTACTTGTCGGCCTTCTACGAGGACCAAATGTTTGAGAAATAAATATATTAGTAAACGAAGAGAGAATTATTCACAAAAATTCAATCAGTAGTTGCATTTATCTTAGCGATGTTAAAACAGACATATTCAGAATTTCATTGTGATAAAATATTGAAACACGACATTTAAAATCGTATAATTGTTTCGTGTATTTTCTGTGGAAATGAATGATTAATTATGATTGATGATAAAAATATATTGATCGTAAGAATGTCTGCTGTGCGACTTATTAACATAAAATATTTTGTGTATTAAATATAGTACATTAGACAAATAGTGGATAGAATTAATGCCTTTGGAAAAATAATTCGTCGAATAAACATCAGTATAAACTGATTTATGTTATTATTTCCTCCTGTATGTTGGATAATCCTAAATATTTCCGTCCATTATTCTACCTGAACTTCAATGTATGGATACTTTTATTAAATCCAATGGTTTATTCACAAAGAAGCAGGTCATTTGACATTCTCTTGATGACTTTAATCATCACACTGCATATTTATATTGTCTTTCGTACAGACCTAAAATAAGTAAAAGGTTTTACAATAACAATTTTATATTTATATCACATCTTCTCTATGCATATTACATCTCATTCTCCTAGAATCTTCGAGGATGTCAGAACGTAAAGAGGATCGAGTATGTAATGAAATTTCGGATTTTGAGATAGTGCGAATCTTTTAAGTAGCTGGCTGTTAGCTTTTCAGGAATTATTGTGGTATACGTTATAGGTAACAATTAAATAACTATAATTCATATACATAATATACTTAATTTTCCGTTTTTCTAATGAATATACCAACGTAGGTCAAACAATGTAGTTCTAGGGGCTGTAATCGGGGGATTTTCAAATAATATAATAATTTCTATAGACAGTGTTACAGACGAGACACGTTTTCATATCGAGAGCTAATGCCAGAAGGGAGTATCAAATGAATATGGGAGACTAAATTCTAATTTTGTTTGTTAGTGTATAAATGTAGCTGTCTGTTTGTGTATAGCAGCGTCAACATTACGCCCTTCAGCTATTTTACTTTAGACCAAATATATTTTATTACTTTGTGCGTACAATACGGTTCCCTATTCTTTACTTCAAAATTTATCATTATCTTTGCTGTTTGACTGTCTGGAACAAGCCAATTTACCGACTGAACAGCGTAATTACAAGATATTGTAGGTGCGTCATATTGTGATTTTATTTAAAAATAGTATTAAAATATATTAAATATTCAATAACCAACCTCGCTCCGATACGATGTACTTCTGATCTCTCCTCTTACAACTTCGATATTACTTCTCTGACCAATATACGCAGCATTAACATCATTCCGACAATACGATTGTATCAATGATATATAATACAACAACAAATGTTGATACAATGTGAAAAATGAAGAAATGATAAGAAAATTAAAAATTAGTAATTGAATTAAGAGTTTATAACATACACCTGATGACGGCTCTATGAAAGCCGAAACATGTCGAGAATGTTCCATATGTAAATCGAGTACTCGATACGGAACAAAGGATAATATTTTAACCATCTAATTATCTTATATTACTTTATTGTGATTGACGGACAATTTTAATATATTTTAATACTATTTTTAAGCGTAATTACTTTAAAAGCAACCAGCCATAATGTTATCATATTCTATCTATAGTTTTGATAGAATTAAAAATGGGTATATTATAATAATTTTGATTTCTCGTGTAATATTTTAACGCAGTATATATCGTGGACAACTGTTTTAAAACCCCTGTAATCTTTTGGACAATACGAAAAGATTCATAACATAACAAACTTTCACTATCGCCCTGCATCTAACATAGAAAGGTTTAATTTCATAGTGTACCAGTTGATTCCAGTTGATTCCTTTCACTCTCGTACGTACCGTTCGATTTCTTAGACATGACCGCTGAGCAGCGCGTGAGGGGAAATGAGGGGAAGATTAAAAGGAGTTGAAATTCAATGCGCAGTGAATTTGCTGAGGAGAAATGTAGTAACTGAACGAACAGACACACCAGTTTAATTCTCTACATCTGTTAACTACGTACGGTGCATCATGTTTTCAGCGGCCATGTCTAATTGAACTGAACCCACTGGATCTGAAAACAAGTAAGAATCAAAAATACTAGCATGTAAATGTGGAAATCGTTCATGGATCAGCGATGTTGTTCGCAGGTACAGTTAAAGTGGTCATTATCATTTTGTTGTATTCAGTGCGAGTGGAATTAATACAGAACGATGATAACTTATTAAGTTTATTTTATTTGTTCTCGCGTGATTATATTGTGTACCGACAAATGTTCTTTCTAGAACTTTAGACTACTGACATTTTTTCCCATGAGACGTGCATCAGTTCATATTTCATTATATCGTTACTATAGAAGATGGAGCAAGGTGACAGGTCACAACAAATGTAAGTTAAAAAATATAAATATTATTTTTAGTAATCAAACTTTACCACTACCTATTACATTTTTAGATCGAAAAACTGTCCCGGATTTAACAACTTAGTCAATATTTTCCGGTGTCTAACTAAAGTAACATTAAATAAATAACATTTAATTAAGAGTCCTTGGTGTAGTAGACTCTGTAGAATTTAATCGTAATAAGAACACTTTAAAGACGACATCCCACACTGACTACAAGTAGCCTAATGTGACATAACCTAACTTAATCTAAAAACCTATTCATATATAACGCACAAGGATTAACAAATTTGTTCGGAGATGCACGAATAGTATAAATAAATGAACGGGATCATCAGATCGACTTTAAATAGCAATTTTAAGCATGCATTAGTTCAGTTCTTAACTCAGAGGAAACACAACACACCTGCCTTATAAAAGCAACTGGTTAATTTTGTTTAAGTAAATAATAGTTGTTTTTATACCTGCTGAGAATAATACGAATCTCATAAATACATTATGTGGTTAAAGTACGTGGTATGGGTCTGTGCTATATGAATCGTTAACTGACGGAACGGAAATATGATTTCTTCGTTATATCCGTTTCAGAAGAGTTTAGAAAAACTACGTTCGTAAATTGAATAAAAATTTTCTTGGATATTATCCATCGTCTCGTAAATATAAAACGTAAAACGACGTTTCGGAGATGGATAATATCCAAGAAAATTTTTATTCAATTTACGAACGTAGTTTTTCTAAACTCTTCTGAAACGGATATAGTAAAAGTTAACACCTACTCCGTGATGGCAGTTGTAGATTGGGTCCATGTATGACTGTGTGATATTTTATGGGGGAACTATGACAAATATATTGGCAAAAACACATTCGTCCTCGACATTTTGAAACAAAAATCACGCTGTGTACGAGGACTATAGGATTTCGTGACACCACCTTTAAGTTTTGACTTTTAACTATGTAACACATAGAATAAACTAATTCCACCAAGACCAGAACGTCCAATTCTGTCATTTTTATAGCTAAATCATAGCACTTCATACGTGAACAGAATTTCAAATCTTAAAAAACGTGAGCCACTGACAGTAGAAACAGTAAAGAAGGATTGTTGAAGACGAGAAAAGATGAGAGTGTGGGGGAAAGGGGGAGGAGAGAATTGACAATATTTCTGGTGGAAAGAAGGTTCCCAGGCTTTACCCGCTCATCCTTGTGATAAGGGTAGATTAAGAACAAAGACGATAGGCACAGATTATAAACTTGAGACAGACAGCCTTAACTTTTCGCATCATCCATGCAAGACTGAATACACTCCAGTGAAAACTTTCTCAATTTTCCGGTTACTTGGTAACTACTAAGCCCCGGTATCAAACAGTGCAGTGCATTTTTGAGCAGACTGTACCGGTTACACTGATACCCTCTCCTTCATTCATCTGTTTCTACTTGGGATGCAGGATATAATGGTGTTGGATCGAGTGGCCTGCCATTATAAGGTCACGGCCCATAGCCAGTATGTCAATGTTGTTTCCCTGTGGTTGTCACCCAGTGGATCGGCAGTGCAACACGACTCTTAAAAAATGGTTTATTTCGTATGATTTGAGGTTTTCACAGCGGTGAGTATGAAGATTTCTGTCTTCTGGGTTGCTGCGCTGTGTAGTCTGGTAGATGTTAACCAACGTTTCAGAGGTCATACTGCCTCCATCATCAGGGCGATGAGTATGAAGATTTCTGTCTTCTGGGTTGTTGCGCTGTGTAGTCTGGTAGATGTTTACCAACGTTTCGGAGGTCCTACTGCCTCCGTCATCAGGGCGATGAGTATGAACATTTCTGTCTTCTGGGTTGTTGCGCTGTGTAGTCTGGTCGATGTTTACCAACGTTTCAGAGGTCATACTGCCTCAGTCATCAGGGTGACTCATGTATGTATGTACCATCAGCTTTGAAGGATGCGACGATAAATTATGTTGTTATAGTCTTTTTCACCTTTTATTTAAAGGATGCGTTGTTATATTGTCAATTAGTTTTGATGAGTACTACTCCATAATCTAGGCAAATGTCTCTCAATTAGGCAAATAATAATTTTAACGCTACCGAAACCTCTCAAGTACTTGTGTTAATTATTCTGTCTCGTAGCTGAACTTCGTGGACAACCAGAATGTTTCCTTATTACGGACGGAATCATAAATTAGCTAGCAATAATCCCTTGCCTTGTTACTCGGCAGTTCTGGAAGCCCTGAAGGGAGGTGTGGACCGGACACCGTGTCAAAGGTAATTTGTCACACCTTAGAATTCTGCTACAGTGGAAAATGTATTAGAAGTGGCCTCAGATCCAGGTTTCAAACGCAATACGCAATTTGGAATCGTTCACATCGTGTCAAATGAACGCGGACACCTGCTCACATTGCATCTCCCTAACTGATTCTTTTCTTTCACTATTTCCCCTTATCGTTTTCTTTTGTTTTTGCTAACTTATGTGCTCTCTTTTACATTTCCCATTTCTTTGACTTTTTCTATCTTTTTAACATCGTTCAGGTTCTTTAGATATCAGGTTATCACGGCCCGAATATGAAGCAGACTGTCTTCTGGGTTGTACTGTCGTGTAGTCTCATGTAAATTGACAGACGTTTCAGAGATACTTGCTGCCTCCATCATCAGAGTCGTAAGCCATTTTGAGACTATATTTTTTATATTTTAAAAAAAACTTGTCTCAAAATGGCTTACCACGCGGAAGAAAAACCTAGAAGACAGCCATCTTGATTCTTTCGCTTTCAATTTCCTTGTTAAGTTTGGGAAATTTTAAATTGGTCCTTAATAAACATTTTTATTTACAAATATTACAAGAAGCATGAACATCTTTTCTGCTGTATTACACAGAAATAAATGTGTGGTTGTAGCTTACAAATTCTAAGAGTCTTTATTTATGTATTTATTTAGTATTAATATTATTTGTTGTTTTTATGATTATAACAGTGGTTCTGAGCTACTCTCTCACAGATCTCCACGAAGTATGGGCAATTCTGATCGATGCAACCTGCCAAGAAACTCTTTTGGTTCATAAAGTTCTCCTGCTTACTTGGGGCACGTTTAACAAAAAAATACGAGTCTCATACTTTACCCGGCTGCACGTTATTAAAACCCTCACTAGACTTTGAGAGACTGTATTATTTCCAACAGATATAGGACTTAAGGTCACAGTGCGTTTCATAATTTATATCCTAGGCGAAATATTAGTAATTTAACAGTTTATATCTTCATCTCTACTAGTTTATTTAACTGTGTTTCAACAGCTGTGAAGTTTATATGCCATTAAATGTGACGGCGGTTATGAATAGTGAATTGAAAATGACGTGTTAGCGAGCGGTGTACTTTAATGCACTAACCTATCGGAGCTTGATGAGTTCAAAATTTTAGACAGAAATCCTGAACGACAGAGACAATTTAGAATAACTAGGATCAAATAGATGTACCTTATTAAAATAGGTTTTGGAGAAAGGGTATGAATTTTTTTGGATTTGAATAAACTGGCTCAAAATTGGTTCCAGCGCCGTTTTTTATAAACACGATAATAAATCTTCGGATTTTATAAAATGTGGAGAATTTCTTAACCAATTTAACATTATATAAGAAGTTTTATATTTAAAAAGACAGGTTACATTAACGCCAAAACGTTTCACTGCTACTCTCCTTTCGTTAACTGGAAACGTAGATTATTTCTTACGAATGATATTCAGAGTTTCGCAACTTGCTTATTACAATAGTCGACTCAGCGTGAACTTGACTTCCTACTTGTAATATCTTATGCCTTGTTAGTGTTTATGTCTAGTCGCCAATAAAACATACATCTTATAAGAAAATAAGACGAAACTCCATGCGTCTAATGCAATCTGTAATGTTCCAGTAAGAAACCCTTTTTTATGCAACCCAAAGGTTGATTACTGCGTTCAGAAGAGCCGGACAATATTTTCTTAATATTATCTTATTATCTTTCCCCGGGTATTAACATGTCTTTACAAGGTCGTGGTCTAGGCAACACGGAGTTTTCCTCCGGGGGCTTCCCCGGTTTCTCCGTGGCATCCCAACAATTACTCCATTCACACACAGAAGAAGGCAATGGCAAACCACTTCTGGATCATCTGCCAAGAACGTATATGAACGGGTCCCAGTCCGAGAAAAGGATGGAAGGATCCTGTTCATATGGACCTGTCGTCAGACAGAACACTAAATAAATAATAACAATGATTTTTCCGTCAAATCACAATGTTCCTCAAACCCCATTCACCACTGGGCCTATTTTACATTTATTTTGAACGTGAAACGAAGTCTGTAATTATATAGGCCTATAATTTAGATTATTCTTATTTGATTATCTGTTTAATACAAAACTTAATAAGCCTATTGTGGTCTAATTCAATTCTGATCACACTGTCAATAATTCAGGAAAGATTCCGATACTTCGTAGGGAATGCTCTGCATAACGTGATTCAAATGCAGCTGAAGATGTCTGTTTGTGTGATTTCAGAAAAGTTCTGAGGTTAAAATCAAGGTCAGTATCCAATCTGGTAACAGTCTTTTTTGTTATTTCGCTCTTAGTGTTCAGAAAGAGAACATGAATGTAAATCTACTTTAGTGTACACCCGGTAGTATCTGTGGATTTGTTAAACGTGCAGAGGCACGTACTGGCGTCAGTGGAACCACCTATCAGCTGCTGTGATTGAATGAACAGGAATACAACTTGACTTTAAAGCAGAGAGCTTCAATTTAAAGTAGAACAAAGGGAAATGTGTGAAGTGGTTGTTGCTAGATCGACAATGTGAATAAATAAAACAACTGCTTTATGACATAAGATACAATTACGTAATTAAGAACATAACATACCGAAGTAATGCGATTGTCAGTGCCTTCGTATTCGTCGTCTTCCTCTGTCTGAACTTGTGATACTTGGGGGAAGAGGCGATAATAGCTCGTACTCATTCTTTATCTCGGCGTTACATGGGGAGAGTGGTCAGCGTCACGCCCCACTGAGGCTTTGCCCCAGTCGTCCCGACCGTAGTCATGCACTTGCCAAGAAAATCTTTCGGTTTATACAGTCATCTGCTTATTCCGGTGTCATAATTTAACATAAAGTACGAGACGCCTGTTCTACCTTGCTACACGTTATTAAACCCTTCTGGACACTTTATTAAAATATAAAAAAATTGGATGTCACAAGTTTGTTTTATAATTAATTATCCCCGGCTCAAATATTTGGTCTCTAGTTGTTTGTTAATCAGGTAGACGATTTGTTAATTTTTACTTTGCTAAATTAAAATTAATTATTTGGTTTTTCCGTCAAATCACAATGTATTTAAAATAAGATAATTAAAATAATTAAAATATCATTCTGTGTTCCATATCGAATAATCGATTTACAATTGGAACATTTACAACATGTTTCGGTTTTATTAAACCATCATCAGGTGTAAAATTATATTAATAAATTTAAAACTCAATTACAATTTTTTACAATTTTTTTTTACAATTCACTTTTACTTTGCTGGCCTGTCAATGTTGGCTTCTTGTCTGGATGGATGTTCCACGTTGCACTTGGACGATGGCAGGCGCCAAACTGCTCTGCTGGATTGACAATCTTCCAGCACGTTGACGACCAAAACTGTGCGGCCCTTTCAATTTTAAATAAGTTCAGCACTGAAAATCGATATAACAGAATTAGGCGGCCTGAAATACACAGTGCACGAACCATTACACTTTGCGTGACTGTGTTCATTTTATTACTGATACAAATCTGCTCTTGATTGGTTTCATCAGATTGAAGTCGACCCAACTACACTGCATATACAGTACCGTCCACTTATACATATGTATAGCTTATCATAAACTCTATTATCTTTTTTTGTTGAAATAGCCATCACCATCACGCTATTTCACACAAACGCCAGCCGTAACTACGTAATGTAAATCAAGCGCTTTGTTTATTTCTATATATGAGTCCATATGTCGGGCTATTACGCTACTGTAATTTATTACTTCATTAAATCAAATATTAAAATATGTTGTTATGTGAAAATAACATGGCGATAACCTTTGTACATGTTGCCTTAATGCTATTAAGATCGGATTGTGTAAAAGTAATTGAGGAGAAGCAACGTGTGAAATTTATTTGATATTTTAATTTTTAACGGCGTGAATATTGCTGAAGAGGGGTGAGTAAGCCTA